TTTCTAGGAGTGGAAATGATAGGGTAAAGGGTATGATAAATTGTATGGTGTTAATACTTTCTCTTTTTAATATTTATTTTTCAGTTTTAAGTGGACATAATATCTTTATTTTTATGTGGTGCCGAGAATCGAATCCAGTGCGTCACGCACGCTAGGCAAGCACTACCATTTAAGCCACATCCCCAGCCCCAATACCTTCTTTTTAATATTACCTTTAACACAGTGTTACCATTGTGATTTTTATTGGTATCACCTTATGGGTATAGCTTTGTATGGGGTAATGGATGAGGTATTAAGAATTTTGCCAGTATAGAAAATATAAACTGCAATTTACTTTTTTATCTAATTTTTTTTGCATATTGGTGTCCATTTCTAGCACTATTTATTAAAAATACAATCCTTTCTCTGTTCGTTTGGTCCTTTATTAAAGATCAGTTTATTATGTGAGTATGTGTCTATTTCTCGGCTTTCTGTTGGTGTGTGTCTATCCTTTTACTAATTTTGTGCTTTTTAAAAAAAAAATTTTAGATGTTGATGGACCTTTATTTTATTTATTTATTTATATGCAGTGCTGAGAATTGAACCCAGTGCCTCATACATGCTAGGCAAGTTCTCAACCCCAGTCCCCACCTCCAGCTATCTTGATTATTATAGCTTTAATAGTGAGTTTTGAAATCAGATACTGTGAGTCATTCAGCTTTGTTTTTCCTTAATATTGTGTTGGCTCTTCTAGTTTTTTATGTTTAGTTTTCAATGTCTATTGAAATAGCTTGCTGGGGGGCTGGGGATGTGACTCAAGTGGTAGTGTGCTTGCCTGGCATGCGTGCGGCCTGGGTTCGATCCTCAGCACCACATACAAACAGGGATGTTGTGTCCGCCAAGAACTAAAAAATAAATATTAAAAAATTCTCTCTCTGTCTCTCTCTCTCTCTCTCTCCCCTCTCACTCTCTCTTTAAAAAAAAAAAAAAAGAAATAGCTTGCTGGGGAATTTTATTGGTGTTGTGAAGCTATAGATCATGTTGTGAGGAATTGCACCTTTATATTGGTGAACCTCCCTTCTGGTTTTAGAATATAGAATATCTCTGCATTTATTTAAATATTTGTTTTGTTAGGGTTATTATAGTTTTCCCTCCTTCCCCTCCTTCCTTCAGAACCCAGAGTCACTTTGTCATTTAGCCATATTCCCAACCCTTTTTATTTATTTTGAGACAATGTCTTGCTAAGTTGTTGAGGCTGGTTTTGAAATTGCAACCTTCCTGTTTCAACCTTCTGAGTCCGTGAAATTATAGGTGTGTGCCTTGGCCACCTCACCCAGTGAGGTTTGTAGTTTTCTGCATATACACTTTTGTTTTGATACTGTGGATTGAACCCAGGGATGCATAACCATTGAGCCACATGGGGGTGTGGCTTTTTTTTTTTTTTTTTAAGACAGGGTCTTGCTAAGTTGCTTAGGGCCTCAGCCTCCCAGTTGCTGTGGTTACTGGAGTGCACCACTGCACCTAGCTCTGCATATAGATTTAAAAAATACATTTTGTTAAGTTTACGTCTAAGTCTTTTGTGGTGGGTGCTGTTGTCTCATAGTTTTGGAGACTAGAAGTTTTGAAACCTCTAGGGGAAATTCTTAGCTTCTTGCAGTCATTAAAATGAATGACACATGGTTTGCCATTCATGTACTCTTTTTTGGCTTGTAGGTGTATCACTGTAATCTTTTGTTTTCATGTGACATTCTCCTTATCTTTGTCTTCATAGGCCAATTTCTTTTATGTTATATACAGAGAAATTATGTCTGTATTTCTTCCCTTTTAACAATGGGATACATATCAAATACCTTCTTCTTACTGTTGCTTTTTCTAACATAATTATTTTTACCCCTCTGGTACTTAGAATTGAATCCAGGTTGCTCCACCATTGCATTCTATCCCCAGCCTTTTTTAATTTTTATAATGAGATAGAGTCTCCCTAAGTTCCTCATCCTGATCTTGAACTTGGAATCATGTCTCCCCTTCCAGGTGCCACAGCTTTTGGCTTTTACATCTTAATAAAATAGTTTATGTAAAAATTGTTTAGCTAGGGCTGGGGTTGTGGCTCAGATGTAGAGCACTTGCCTAGCATGTGTGAGGCACTGGGCTCGATCCTCAGCACTACATAAAAATAAAATGAAGGTATTGTGTTCACCTACAACTGAAAAATAAATGTTTTTTAAAAAATTGTTTAGTTAGCTATAGCCTCTTCAAAGTGAACATTAGGAAAAAACAGGACTTCCAGAAGTTCTCCTGTGTTTAGCAGAGTCAGAAGAAAGTGTAGTTAAAGTAGCTTTGCAGCTATCCTTACAAAAGATGTAGTCCCAACGCAGGCATGGTGGCACATGTCTATAATCTAAGCATCTTTGAGGGCCCAAGGCAGGAGGATTGCAAGTTTGAGGCCAGCAGGGGCAATTTAGTGAGATCCTGTGTCAAAATAAAAAATAAAATGGGGTGGGGATGTAGCATAGTGGTAGAGCATTCCTGGGTTCAATATCCATACTGCCAAAAAAGAAGAGTAGTGCAAAAATAACAGTTCTTCAGGGTTTCATCCATAAGACTCCTTAGTTGTTGCAGTCATTAAAGTGAAGACACATTGTTTTTGTATTTATTTTCTGAAATCACATTCTGTTTTTAGATTGGCAGCAGAATTATGAAATGAATTTCACAAAATAGGGCTTTGAAATAAAAGGTTTTGTACTTAATATTGTTAGAACTTGCACACTTGATCTTTGTCTATCTAGGAGACTCATTTAATTCTGGTATACATATTCTCATTTTACAGGAATAAAATTAAGTTAGATATAAGTGACATGTTTATATTAATATCACAAGTGCCAGAAGTAGGATTTAGCACACATCTATACGCTCCAAAAACCATGACTTTTCTAATAATGTCCTCTTTTGCCATTTTTCATGTCTTCCTTATGTTTCTGAGTCTTGAGCTGGGACTTTAAATTAGTTTATGGGAATACTGGGATTCAAATTTTGTATGATTATAAAATAATTGGATGCTTAAATTACGCTGTGGAGGTATAAAGGATCATTGTTTTTGATGGAAAAATTAAACTGAGAAATCCTTGTTTTTTAATGTCCATTTTCTTTTTATCTTATTTATCTGCAGGTAAAGCTTGATCCTAGACCATGTAGTATGCTTTTTTGTAATGGGAGTATATCATGGTGATGGTATTTTCAACTTATTTAGTAAAATTTTCATAAACTAATAGTGTTTTTTTCCTAAGGTGAAAAAAAGATCTATTTTTTTCCCTCTAAATTATTTTTTGGGCGCTGTGGATACATAAAACGATAGAGGTATAAAAATTAATAATTATTCAATATTTTACTAAACAGAATTGGGATAGTTCTAGAAAGCAGATTTTCTAATCTTTCTTTACCTCCTTTATTCGTCCCCAAAACTTTAGTCTAATTACATTCGTTAGTATACTAACATTTTAGGGTATTTCTTTTTAGAGGAGATTAGAGGAAGCTATAGAGGTCTTTTAAAGTAAAGTAAAAGATCTGATTGCTCTGATTTTCCTTAAAAGTTTTAGGGGGAGAAATGGAAATCTATAGTTAATACTTGTGGCTTCTTAAATTGGTCAGTAAAAGTTGGATGCCTTCAGTTTTCATCACATTGTTTATTCTTGTACATACCAGACAAAGTATTTTTACTTTTGCTAAAATGTACATTTCTTTCTCTGCCACAACACCATGAATGGTAATGATTTTCTGGGGCACAGGAAGAAGTTTCTCTTTTGTGCATATTTGTAATTCAATTTCACTTTGTGGATAAAAACATTTTCAGAAAAATATGAAATACTTTGAAGCATAACAAAGGTTATGAAATAAACCAATACTAATTAGAACATTTTAAAAATACATTAAAGTAATTTTGGTAATTCTGTGTTATTAGAAGAGTGTCATGAAGCTGGGCGCAGTGGTGCATGCCTGTAATCCCAGCCATTTGGGAGGCTGAGACAGGAGAATTGCAAGTTTGAGGCCAGCAACTTGGCAAGACCCTGTCTCAAAATTAAAAAGAGAAGGGGGATTTATCTCAGTGGAAAAGTATCCCTGGATTAAATTCCTAGCACCTTCCTCACATATATATTTTCAAGAAGTCATATGAAATTTTAGAAATTTGGATTTTAAGTTATACATTGTTTCTGTACTAAAAATATTTAGTATAGAAAAAGTGAAATGTGTGTGTGTGTGTGTGGTGAAAGAAGCTGAGGACCTTAAAGCAGATAGTCTTAACACTCTTCCATCCAGTAGGCAAGTTTTAAAAAGATGGTTCCAAAACAGAAAAATTTACTCTTGAAATGTTAGGCAAGACTTTCTGTTATAAAAGTAGATGTATTATGTCTGTTAAGTAAAAATAAGGAATTTAACAAAACAAAATACATATATTGTATATGTGTATTTTGTTTTGTTAAATTTGTATTTTAGGTTTAAATTGAGAGAAGGGAAGGACTTTATATATTAGGAATATGGAATAAAACCAGTAAGATATTAGGATAAAAGCATAAGTGGAGGTACCATTTATAGGCAGGTAGGTACTTGGGAATATTAATGTGAATTCCATTGAACAGAACCGAAGTTCCCTGAAGGTTTAAAATCTTAACTACATTTAACTACAGATGAATAGGTTTATCACTTTGGACTTGACATATGTAGAGTTAGCAAATATAAATAAGTTGTCTGCTATTTTTCTCTAATAACTTTCCCATAAAGTCAACAAGCCATTTGTTCTATTGTTCAAAGTGGTGTTATTTCATTAAGAATATTGAAGTTAATATTTCTTACTTTCCTTGTTTTAAATACTCTTAAACTGGCTAATTACGTCCTAGAAAAGGACAGTTTATTTTTCTAGAGTAGATAAATCTATGAAAGAGGGGCTTTAAGTTTTTTATAGGTAATATTTTAAAATAGGCCTTTTCCTTGTTGACATAACTAACATTTATTTTCTGTTTATTTTTAAGACGAGCAAAAATCAAATTAAAGTAGATCTTGTAGATGAGAATTTTACAGAATTAAGAGGAGAAATAGCAGGACCTCCAGACACACCATATGAAGGCAAGTACTTTTTTCTGTATCAAAATATTGTGCGTATTAGAACTTGTCTGAAACATTAAATCAGAATTAATTTTGAGCATCTATAAACTACATAGAAGGTAACTACATTTGGCTTAGTATATACAGCAATTTTTAAAATGATAAATTTAAACACTTAATCCAGACTGACTTTTCTTACTGAATTTTAGTTAATTTTTTCTTTCCCCAAAAGAGATTTAGCACAGCTAATTTACAGATTGTGCAGGTTAGAATTTTTAAAACATAATAGAATGTTAAGCCTCTTTCTTATATAGTCTGTAGACTCTCAAGTTACCCTTCATATGGTATTTATAACAAACCTTGCCTTAAATTTCTGACTAACTTTGTTTTTGCTTTTTAAAGCTCCTCTCCCATTTGTCATATGGCATTTCATTCACTCATATATCTTCATACTGGTTGTAGTTCATGTATTTAATTTTCTTATTTAGGAAAGTTTTGAGTGATCATTTTTAGATTTATAGAAAAGAAAGTAGATAGCTTTACTTAGTTTATGTTCACAAATTAAGTCTGTAGCTCCTTTACTGTAGACCACAGAATTGAGGGTAAGATATATAGAGAGAAGCTTTAGCATTTTAATTTCTCCTTAGGCAAATCTTCATGAATGAATATTATAAATTTGGATTAAGTAGCATAACCACGGTTCTTGGAATCTAGGTATTCAGATATTTGTTTAGTAGAAAGCATGTAACGATATGTGGTAGCTCTTTAGAAGCATTACATGTATGCATACTCATATATTTGGTTCTTAACAAATCTTATGAGGTAAGTAGAGTTATCACTTTTTTATAGATAAACTTAAGCTCAGAGAAGTTAATTAACTTATCTAAGATTTGATATGAAGTAGAGGCACAGCTGGGATTTGAGGCTTAATAGCCTTTTACTTCAAAGTTATACTTTTAATAACTTGCTACTTTGGAGTGAATCAGGATTGATATTGGAAGGGGTAATTATGATTATTCTGAATATGGTGGTTCTATAATTTGGTGATGAATAGTTAACCCCCCAAATTGAGAAAAGTCTAATATTCTTGAATATTTTTGTCCTTATTCAAAAATTTAAAGACTCTAGTATGTCATTAGCATACTATCTTTTTGAGGGGTGGGTGTGATACTGGTGATTGAACCTTGGAGTGCTTTACCAGTGAGCTATATCCTGAGATTGATTGATTGATCAATTTGGGGGTTAGGTTTTTGCTAAGTTGCCACGGCTGGTCTCTGATTTGGAATCCTCCTGCCTCAGCCTCCTGAGTTGCTATGATTACAGGCATGTGTCACTGAACACTGCTTATTTAGTCCTTTTGATAGTAAACATAGAAGAGACCTTTAGTTATATCTTACAAAAAATTAAGTGTTTGTCTTAATTGCAAATGCTCGTTTATACTTGCTGCTTCTTGAAGGCAGGCATAATAGTTCTTGAATTATTTTTTTAGATTGTATAGATGCTTTATTTTTTTATTTATACTGGGAATTTAACCCAGAATCACTTTATCACAGCTGGATTCTATTCCTTTTTATTTTTTATTTTGAGAAGACAGGGTCTTGCTATGTTGTAGAGGCTAGCCTCAAACTTGGAATCTCCTGCCTCATCCTTCTGAGTTGCTGGAATGACAGGCATGTCCCACCACTCCTGACTAAATGTTCTTTTTGGGATTTGTTTTGTTTTGTTTTTTGAAGGAAGTAAGGCAACAGTATTATTCTAGACTTCTTCCAGCAAATTTTTGTAAGAGACAAGATACTTCCTGAGCTTAGTTGTTAGATGAGGAAAATTTCTTACCTTCTTAGCAACTCTTAATAGGTAAGTGATTTTTAAAAAAAATATATAATATTTTTTAGTTTTAGGTGGACACAATATCTTTATTTTACATTTATGTGGTGATGAGGATTGAACCCAGTGCCTCATGCATGTTAGGCGAGTGCTCTACCATGGAACCACAATCGCAGTCCCAGTGATTTTTTTTTTTTTTTTTTAAATTGGATAAAGCACACTTTTTTGTATTTCTTTTTAGTTAGAAATGTTTGGTAACTAAGTATTTAATCCTGCTTCTGCTTTTAAATAAGACAGTTTTTTGATAAGATTAGGTTTAATATGTTTTTTGGATATTTGAGTTATACTATCTCATTCTGTTCTTTTTGTCATAAGTATTGAGAGTATTGAGATGATCATTTTATTTAGTAAAAGTACCATACAAGTACATAAACTAGAAACTTTCTTTGAAATGTAAGAAAAATGTTTAAATAATGTTTCTTGCAGGGTTCTTACTTTTTTTTGTTTTTTTTTTAGGCTTTTTATTTTTCTTTTTTCTTCTTTTGGTGTTACTGGGGAATCCAACCTATTGATGCTTTACTACTGTGCTAAAACCCCAGCCCCTTTTGTTTTTTATTTTGAGACACAGTCTCACTAATAAGAGTTAGAGACTGACCTCGAACATGCAATCCTCCTGTCTCAGCCTTCCTAGTTGGCAGGATTATAGGTGTACCCCACTGTGCCCGGCTAGTTGTTTGGTTTTTATTTGATGATGGGCATTGAACCCAGGGCCTCTCACATGCCAGGCAAGTGCTCTGTCACTGAACTACACCCCCAGCCTCTTTGTGTTTTTTAATTTTGGTTTAAATTAAAAAGCAAAAGGAGAAGTTTACATGTAGAATGTTAGACATTTTTTTAATCTATTAGGTAATGAGGAAGTCATTTTATATGGTATTTTAAAATAATCAGATTGAGAAGTAGAATATCCATTGAAAAATTGCTGTGATGTGTGTTCATTAAACTCAGTTTTCTTCTTTTGACTAATAAAATAACTCAGTGGTAAAGGAACAATTTACTTTCTTCCTAAAAGTTCTTTTGAGTTTCTAGATTATTTTATGAATTTTTAATGTTAAAAGCTCTTCTTAAAGCAGGGAGTAGTATCTTATATCTTCTGTAGGCCCAGCTACTCAGGAAGCTGAGGCAGGAGGATTGCCTGAGGCCCAGGGGTTCAAGGCTAATCTGGGCAATTAAAAGAGATCCTGCATTGTGGGAGCGGGGGTGGGGGGAGCTATTCAGGAGGTAACTATTTAAAATGAATGCTGTTTTTGTTTTTATGCCTATGTGTTTTCCAGCACTGAGGATTAAACACCCAGGGTTTTATGCATGCTAGGCAAGTGTTCTGCATCCATGATCTCCCTTCCGACCCCTCCCGCTGCCTTTTCCTTTTTTTTCTTCTGAGAATGGGTTTCAGTATGTTGGCCCAGGCTGGCCTTAAATTTGTTATCCTCCTATCTCACTCTCCCAACTAGCTGGGATTACATCTGGTATATACAGTGTGTTTTGTAAAAATTCCCTTATATGTATCAACCTGATTAAATACAATCTGTGACATTTTTGGTCAATGATGGACTATGGATTTGAACAGTGGTCTGTTAAAATTACATTGCCTAGTGATACTGTAACTGTCCTGGTATATTCTTTTTGCACAGTGATGAGATCACCTAATGATGCTTCTCAGAACACATCCTGTTGTTAAACGACACATGAATGGTATTATGGTTAATGCTGTAGTGATTATATATTATAATTTTCAGGTAATAATGCAAGACAGAACATACTCTTGATCTTTTAGGCAGAAGGCTGAGAAACATATAAGACAACATGTAACATGGAGTAGAAATTAAAATATCTCTGGGCTCCTGCACTGCTCATAAGAGATTGTTTTGGACATTCAAGAAATAATAACTTTGTATAAAGGATGGTAATCTGAAATTTAATCAGGAAAAATAAATAGATTTGTAGGAAGAAAAAAGAAGAGCCTATTGTAATGTTCAAGCTAAATTTAATCATGTATATTTGAAGCTAGTATTTATAATTCTGAAAGTTATTTCAGTATTCACAAAATTTTCTATTACCCTTCTGTTACCTGTCCCCTCCCCCTTTTTTTTCTTTTCATTTCTTTATTCTTTACTGCTATCATGTGTTTTGTGATTCAGGCATCTGGTTCTTTTCATGTATTTAATAGATGGGACTCTATTGAAAAGAATTCTAAGAGAAGAATTGGAACTCAAAAGTGCTTAAGGAAAAGGGTACCGAGTGAAATGCCCTTTTCCCCAGATCCAAAATCATCCATTTATAACAATGGAGGAGGTGTGAATGTGAGAGAATGTAGGAAATAACTGGGGAAAGTTTCCTGCTTGACTTTTTTTTAAAAAATATTTTTATTAGTTGTTGAATTTTTTTTTTTAACTTATTTGTATGTGGTACTAAGAATCCAACCTAGGGCGTCTCACAGGCAAGTGCTCTACCGCTGAGCCACAACCCCAGCCCCTTGACTTTTTTAAGAGCTGAGCATATAGAATTTTGATGTTAATAATGCCTGCCCCCATCGGTTTAATCACCTAGTGACTAGTCTTTATCTACTCCATCCCTTGAAAACTATGAAGCAAAATACCATAATTTTATATGTGTTTCAGTAGCACAGTTTTATTTGCTGTTTTCTAATAATATTCTATGTCAATAGGTCGTAAAGTCTTAGGATCGGAAAGTTAGACATAAGATTCAAGACTTATTCCATGAGAATTTCCTGAGAGAAAGTTATCATTTCTTTGAATGCCCTAATTATGAGAAATTAGAAATACTTTTTTAAATATCTGTTTAGTGACTGGTTTCTTAAGACTCCAAAAGAAAAAATGTTGTCTTCTGTTTATATACAGCATTACTGGTTAGAACAGCTTCTTTATAAATTTGCATTTTATATATCCATTTAAAGGAAGAGAATAGTATCTTGTCTTCTTGGATGTCTTATTTTATTTTAAAATATTATTTATTTATTTAAAATATTTTATATTTAAAAAATTAACAAAAAATATTAGCATTTAATTTAGGTCACAAGATAAAAGATTGGGAATTTTTTTTTTTAATTCAAGAGAACCAGTTAGAAATAGATTTTTGAGTTTATGGCCTAATCTATATTCTTTGTCTCTGTACATCTATTCTTTTGTATCTGCTTGCCTTCATTCTTTTTTTTTTTTTCCTTCCACAACCTCCACCCACCCCACCCCCAGTGTTATTAGTGACTCTTTTGTTGACTAGAGGCAACAAAATGAAATGGAAGCTAATTGTTTTCATGAAATATTTGGTATTGGGTTGTCTGTGGATTTAATTTATTCATGTATGTCTAGTCCTGTTCCTCACTGATAAACAAATTGCTGATATGAAAATGGGTCTTATGGATGCTTTAAATAAGTATTAAATAAAAAACTGGTGCTTTTGATGATTTCCTTTTTGGATTTCCACTTTAAAATTAATTTGCAGTTGAATATAAAATAATGAATGTTTTAAAAAGTTTTGTTAGTATACTTGGTTTACATATTTGAGTTGAACAGCATTGTTAACTTTATTTTCCCAATTTTTTAGGAGGAAGATATCAACTAGAGATAAAAATACCAGAAACATATCCATTCAATCCCCCTAAGGTATAGTAAACCTATTTTTATGCATGAACTTTTGAAATATTTTTTATACTTGGCTCTACTAATGTATGTTTTAGTGCTTATTAAAGTTACCACTTTATGAGTTGTTTGCTGTGTTTTAAGATTTCAGGCCATGGCAAGTGGCTTGCTTCTGAAATTAGAATAAAAAGCAGACTTACTCAAAAGCAGCCAGTAGTGGCTTTACATTGGAATAGGGTGTGCATCTGATAATGACTCAGATACTGGGTCTGCAAAAACTTGCAGTGTTCCCAGATATGAGAGAGGTTTTTAATTTGCTCAAAGAAGCAAGTGTTTTAGGGAGTAATGTATTCTTCATTCTTTCAGTAATTATTTGAATATATGTACCAAGGAATATAGCAATAAGGCTTGCACTTCTGCTTTCATGGAGCTCACATTCTATGAGAAGTAATCAGCAAATAATTGCAAAACCATTTTGAATGTGAAGTGGAAATGATCTTACCTTACCCTATGGTCATGTATAACAAGAGGTAGCCTGAGCTGGGGTTTTTTTTTTTTTTTTTAACTGAACCTCTTCCTTCATGTTTTTACTTTTGCCACTGTCACAACTTTAATTTAGCCATTCAACTTAGGTACTTACTTACTTCCCTATTTTGCCTGTTATTAATCCCTTCCATTTTAGCTATTTCTAATCTTCCTAAAAACAGTTTAGATTATCCTTCTTTTCGTTCTCTGTTAATAAAAGTCTAAACTCCTTATCTTGGCATTTAAAGTCTCCTACAGCCTGACCCCAATTTTCTTTTCTACCCTTATCTTCCACATCTCCACCCACAACATGGTCTTGTTTTCTAACCTAGATTATTGGCTCTTTGTGGATGATATTTATTCTTTCATGTTTTTTCTCTAATTTTTGCTTGAATCTTTTGACCTTATTTGAAATTCTGGCTTTTTTAAAAGATGAGGGTGAAGTGCCACTTTTCTCCATTAAGCCGTGCCTGTCAGATATTTCCCATTAGCATTTTATAGGATTTATATAGTATCTGCATAAATTTTTGTATTATTTTGGATAAACAGGGTGGGGCTGGGGTTGTGGCTCAGTGGCAGAGTACTTGCCTAGCACATTTGAGGCACTAGGTTTGATTCTTAGCACCCATATGAATAAATAAAACAAAGATCCATCTACAACTTAAAAAAAAAGAATAAACATGGTAATGGGAAGGGTGAATTTATTTATTTATTTTTATTGGTTGTTCAAAACATTACAAAGCTCTTGACATATCATATTTCATACATTTGATTCAAGTGGGTTATGAACGCCCATTTTTACCCCATATACAGATTGCAGAATCACATCGGTTACACATCCACGTTTTTACATATTGCCATATTAGTGACTGTTGTATTCTGCTRYCTTTCCTATCCTCTACTATCCCCCCTCCCCTCCCCTCCCATCTTCTCTCTCTACCCCATCTACTGTAATTCATTTCTCTCCCTTGATTTTTTTTTTTCCTTTCCCCCTTTCCCCTCACATCCTCTTATATGTAATTTTGTATAACAATGAGCGTCTCCTTCCATTTCCATGCAATTTCCCTTTTCTCTCCGGGAAGGGTGAATTTAGATCAGCTACTAGAATGGGATATCTCTGTTGCTTGATGTACATTTATTTTTTGACATGCTCCCTCCCCTTTTTTTTAATTGTGGCAAAGTGTTCATGACATAAAATTTGCCATTTTAACCTTTTTTAGGTGTGTTGGGGTTTTGTTTTGTATTGTATTGGTACTTGGGTTTGAGTCCAGGGGCACATTACCCTTTACCAATGAGCTATACCTCTGGGTGTTTTTTTTTTTTTTTTTTAAATATTTATTTTTTAGGTGTAGATGGACACAAAACAGTGCCTTTATTTTTATGTGGTGCTAAGGCTTGAACCCGGGTCCTGCCGGTGAGTGCTAGGCGAGTGCTCTACCGCTGAGCCACAATCCCAGACCCCGGTTCTTTTTTTTAAGATTTTATTTTATTTTTTTAGTTGTAGTTGGACACATACCTTTATTTTATTCACTTATTTTTATGTGATGTTGAGGCTTGAACCCAGGGCATCTCACGTGCTAGGTGAGCACTCTGTCCCTGAGCCACAACCCAGCCACCAACCCCCGTTCTTTTTTTTGGACATGGGGACAAAATGAAAAAGTTACTGAGGGTCTTGTTAAGTTGCTGAGGTAAATTTAGTATCCTCCTGTCTCAGTCTCCTTAGTCGCCGGGATACTAGGATTATAGGTATGCCTCACTGCGTCTGGCTTTTAGATGTATTGCTCAGCAGCATTAAATATATTTTTGTGCAATTGTCATTACCATTCATCTCCAGAACTTTTTTGTGTTTTTGAAGTACTGAGGATTGAACCTATAGCCTTGAGCATGCTGGGTAAATGCTCTACCACTGAACTACATTCCTAGCTTTTTTCAAATTTATGCTTTGAGACAGGGTTTCACTAAGTTGCCCAGTCTGTCCTTGAACTTGTGGTCCTCCTGCCTCAGCCTCCCAGTGTCTGGGATTATAGGTAGCCTCTTGAGAAATTCAGATATAGGCTACAGGTGTGTGCTACCCATTCCTGGATTTTAATTCATTTGTTTTAAAAAACAGAAATAAGATGGAAGAAAGAAAAGTGCTGTAGATGGACTGCTCTCAACCATTATACTTAAAATGACAGGTAAAACTGTCACTTATGGTCTGGGTCAGTGGTAAAGTGCTAGCCTATCATGAGTAAGGCTCTGGATTTGATTCTCAGCACAACATAAAAATAAATAAAGGCATTCTGTCCACCTACAACTACAAAAATAAATAAATAAATAAAGGTTAAATTGTTTTAAAAATCACTGGACTCTCCTTCCATGATCCTGGGAAGAACCAGTAAGGACACAATCTCTGAAAGTATGAGTGTGGTTCTTCCAAAACAGTCAGTCAACAGTTAGTTGAACAGTAAGGGTTCAATCTTACCTCGATTTCACTGGCTTTATGATTTTAGGCAAGTTATCTAATTTCTGTGTACTTCAGTTTCTCATTTGTTTTAAAATCCTCTCCTGGGATTATAAAAATGAAAGGAGTTAACACATGTAAAGTACTTTTCAGTAATTCTATAAAACATGTTTTCCCATCTTAGTATCTTTCAAATAAGAATCCATATTTCAGTGGATTAGCATATCATCATTTAATTGGAAGAAATTTTTGTCTTCTGTGAAGGCACTGAAAGTAATGTTTTCTTGAATAACAATAACAATAAAAAAATGGATGTTGCCTGAGATTTAGTAAAATAGAATACTTAGAAAAGTGCCTTTCGCAGAGCAAATACTTGGTAAATATTAGCTAGAATTAGCCAGTAAGTCACAACTAGTTATTATTTCTTTATTGCTTTGCTGGGGATTGAATGTAGGGTCTTGCACATGTCAGGGAAGTGCTGTATCACTGAGCTGCATCCCTAGCCTCATAACTGTTCATATAATAAAGAATGGCTCGGTGCAGTGGCACATGCCTGTAATCCCAATAGCTCAGGAGGCTGAGGCAGGATGATCACAAGTTCAAAGCCAGCCTTAGCAACTTAATGAGGACTTAACCAACTTAGCAAGACCCTGTCTCAAAATAAAATAATTAAATAAAAAAGGATGGGAATGAGTCTCAGTGGTTGAGCACTTCTGGGTTCAATCCCTAACACCAAAAAAAACCAAATAAACAAAAAACCAAACAAAGAATGAAGGGTTGATAAATGCTCCAGCATGGATGAACCTTGAAAACATGCTAAATGAAAGAAACAGACAATAGATTCTCTACATTAGGTTATCATTTAATGAAATATCAGAAAAGGCAAATCATTATGGACAAAAAGTAGATTGTTAGTTTTTAGAAATGGGGTAGGTTAGAAAGTAATGAATAGTGTAGGCTGATAGTTACAGGATTTCTGTTCTTTTTTTTTTTCTTGGTACCAGAGATTGAACTCAGGGGCACTTAACCACTGAGCCACATCCTCAGCCCTTTTTTGTATTTTATTTAGAGACAGGGTCTAACTAAGTTGCTAAGGGCTTCACCATTGCTGAGGCTGTCTTTGAGCTCGTGATCCTCCTACCTCTACCTCCGCCTCCAGAGCCTCTGCCAGACATGCACCACTGTGCTGGCTAGGATTTCTTTTTGAGGTGATAAAATTTTCAAAAATTAGACTCTTATTGATGGCTAGGCAACTTGGAATATACTAAGAATTATGACATTTTGTACTTTTCTTTCTTCCTTCCTCCCCTCCCCTCCCCCCTTGGTGATTGATCTCAGGGCCTCGTAAATACTAGGCCAGTGCTCTACCATTGAGCTATACCCCTGGCTTAGTGAAATTGTGCACTTTAGGTGGGTCAATTATGTCTCAATAAAGGTGTTTCTTTAGGGTCTGTACTAACTCCAAAGTAATTGCATAGTTCTGGCTCTGTTTTAGCACTTTGAGATATGACCTTCCCTCTTGATCTGCAGTTTTCCTTTTTTTCAGTTATTCATGGTCAATCAGGATCTGAAAACATTAAATGGAAAATTCCAGAAATAAATATTTCCTCAGTTTTAAATTATTTATTATAATAAATTGGTTTTCTTTAGCTATTGTTAAGTAAATTAAACTTTATCATAAGTATGTATGTATAGGAATAAAACCCAGCATATATAGGGTTTAATACTGTCTGTAGTGTGGGGCATACATTGGTAATCTTGGCACCTATTCCTCATGGATAAGGTGAGTATTACTATATTGTTCAGCTAAGATTTGAGAAGATATTAAAAACTTCTGCTTATTTATCTTTTTTTCTGGGTGGGACTAGTAATGGGGTTTTAACCTTGGGCACTCTACCAATGAGTGACATCACAGCAGTCCTTTGTATTTTTTATTTTGAGACATGGTCTTACTAAATTGCAGAGGCTGGCCTTGAATTTGGGATCCTCCTGCCTCAGCCTTTCCAGGCTCTAGGATTACATGTGTAACAACCATACCAATCTTGTTTATTTTAAT